GTGTGTGTGTGTGTGTGTGTGTGTGTGTGTGTGTGTGTGTGTGTGTGTGTGTGCGTTTGTGCAATATGTGTGAGTCGGGTCGCTGGCGCGGCCGTTTGAGACAAAGGGTGTGTGCTGCGGGGTCCGGTCCTGTACACCCCCACTCGCGGGGACGGGTGCGCAAGGGAAGCTGCTGCTGGGCGATGAGCCCAGCCTGCGGGCGTGGGAGGCTCGATCGAGAGGCAAGCCAGACGTCGGGTCGTCGAATTCGCTCGGGTTGGCAGCGCGGGACGCATACCCCCTCGCGCTCCAAGAAAACCCAGGTGCGTCTGGTGCTGAGGGCCGAACACCCTCCCAGCCTTGCCCCCATCCCTTCGGATCCAGCTACTGAGGGGTTCCAGGGCACCCTTACAAGCCGGGCCAGTGCGCTTGTGCGAGCGGCCCCGGGCCCGAACCGCCGCACCTGTTGGGGTAGTACATGCTCGTGAAGTGCTGCAGCGGCCGCATGATAGCAAAATAAGTGAAGGCTGCGCTCAACCGGCGGCGGCGGCGGCGGCGGCGGTGGTGGTGGTGGCGGGAGCGACGGTCAGGGGCGTGGTGACCACGGGTCAGAGAGGCTGGCTGCCACAGCAGGGCGCAGCGTCGCAGGCGCAGCGGGCGGGGGTCCCCCCCTGTTGCCCAACCGCGGCGCGAGAAACAAAAGTGCGTTGCGGCATGCTGCTGCGCGCGCGCCAGGCATGGACTCTGGCTGGTTTATGAAGGGGTGGCTGCTCTCACCCAGGACAAGAAGGAACACGACACTGCGGGTCCGAGTGGCGGGAGCGGGAGACGGGTAGGCCGCGGGGCGGCAGAGGCGCGGGCAAGAAGACAAACTCGTCAGCTGGTGCCGCGCACGCGTCTGGTTGGTGGCGCTCGCATGGCGGGCGCCAGTCCCTGGTGGCTGTCTTCCCGGCGCCACGGGGCGTAGCCGCCGCCAGCGACCCTCTGGGCCGGCCGGCCCCAGCCTAGGCGCTCCCTCGCGCCATGCAGAACCCCTCCCCACCTGTGCCCGCCCGTCGTCTTGCGCAACCCCGTCCCGCACGTGGCTTCCCAAACGCGCGAGCGAGAACCTGCAAGAACCCTCCCCGCTCCCCAAGAAAGTGCCCTTGCGAGCGCTGCCGCTTTCATGACTCACAGGGCGTTGATGGCTTCTCCATACAAAAAGCGGCTGGAATTGATTTCAAAGTACATGTCCTGGTTGTGTGATAGGTGCATCAGATAGATACAACAAGAGGAAGATGAGCCGCGGTGGTCGGGGTGCTGAGTTGAGCAGGAGTGCAGTGTAGGGCATCAGGGAGGGAGTGAAGGGGCGGTGCCAGGATTGGCGACGGGACAGCCGGGCGCAACAGCTTTTTGTGCGTGTGCATGGGTGCAGGCGGCGCGGCCGTCAGGTGTGTGGGACCCGCCCCCCCTGGCACCGTGAAGGAGACGCCGCGGAAGATGGCTGCTATGAGGGGAGTGATGAAGGACTTGACCATGGCGTTGACCTGAGACGGGTTGAAGAGAGTGTAATGACGTGGATGTGGGTGGGCCTGGTTGTGCATATGGTTACATGCGCGTCTGCAAGGAGGAGGTGATGGCGCACAGGTGCTCGCACGTGGCCAGGGGCGAGTTTGGATGTAGATGGATCATGTGGGTGCGCGCATGCAGCGTGGGTTTTGTGGCATGGGCGATCTGGCAGCCGGAGAGAGCAGCACTGCGCAGGGTCATGCATGGGCATGCACGGGTGGGGACTTGGCTGCCCAAGCCAAGGGTGCTGAGATGCGTGGGTATGAGGCCAGCACCAGCGACCACTCCCCTCCCCCCCCAAAAAAACTCCCCCACCCCCAACCACAGGGAAGCACATGGGCTCACCAGATCTGTGAAAGCCATACTGCATGGTGTGAGGGGGAGGAGGAGTGTATGCAGTTTGAGGATCGGGGCAATGGTGGCTTCAGTTGGGTGCAGGGGATGCGTTACGCAAACCTGCGCTGCAACAATCGATGCAATGCTGCAATCGCGACGCGAAGCAGTCCAAGGGGCAGTCCAAGGGGCAGTCCAAGGGGCAAGGCTGGGGCGCCTTGCGGCCGCTGTGCGCACACTGCGCCTCTCTCAGAGCTTCTCACCCGACAACGACTGGAATCCAGGCGTTTGTGTGGGGCGAGGCGAGGGTGGGGCAGGGGTGCGGGGTCGTCGGGACGTGCGTGCGGCGTCTGCAGCCATGGCAGCACCGGCCGCTGTGACGAGGCCGAGCGGTGGGCGCCCAGCACCGAGCCTCGCCTGGCGGCGGGCGGCTGTCGGTGCTGCAAATGCTTCTGACCAATGCCTGTGTTGCCAGCAACTTCCCACGCAGTGTCAAGGGCGGTACAAGCAGGCCCACAACACAAGCACTCTTATTCACACCCACACCCGCCACCACGCCAGCAACGGCGCCGCCCACGCACTCGCTGGCTGCCCAAGCCGGCCGCCCCTGCTCGCGCCCACCACCCTGGTGCTGCCACAGCCTTCACGCTGCCGGCGCGCTGACTCACCCGCGACCGCGAGCTCCACGATCGTCCCCTTGAGCAGGAACTCCCTGAAACCCTTGCCCGATGACATCACGCCCTTGACCGCCCCAAGCCCAAAGTCGCCGACGTTTTTGACGCCCTTGATCCCCAGCCCGCCGACGCCCTTGACCCCGGTAAGAGCGAAGTCGCCGGCGCCTTTGACCCCGGTCAGCGCCTTCCCGCCGACGTTCGAAACGCCGCTCAGGGCCATGCCGCCCACGTTTGAAACGCCGGCGCCGACGCCCGTCGCGGCCTTGCCGACGCCGCTGCCGACCGAGTTCGCGGCGCGCGTCACGCCGCTGCCAACGGACTTGGCCACGCCGCCGAAGCTGGTGCGGCGGCCGCTGCCGCTGCCGCTGTGGCTGCCGCCTGCGTCGCCGTCGACGCTGTAGCCGCTGGCGCTGCTGCGGCCGCTCGCCTCGCCGGCGTCAGAGCGCTTGAAAGCCCGCATGATGCAGGATGCTGCTGAAGAGTGGTAATATCCTTGCGCACGGTCGAGGGACACTGGTGCTTGAGGGCTAGATGCGGTCAGCCACGACAGGTAATGAGGTCCGGCAGGACAGGTGGAGACTTGGCAGGGAGGTCCCCGGTCAAGACAAACGACGAGTTTAACAAAGGCTTTCGAGTGTAAGATGTTGACACCGGTCAAATCGCGGCGCCAGATCACACCGGCTCGCGTGGAACGATGGAACAGCTGCAAGCAAAAGCCAGCGTGTGTTCAGACGGAAATTTTGCCCGTATGTAGTGCTTGAGAGTGCATCTCGCCACTTTGAAGCTGGAGGCTTTGGGTGTGATGGACCCGGAGCATGACACGCGCGGATTCACGCTGGGCCGGCTGGCAGCGAGAACAGAGCTGCCGCTGTGGCAAGGGACCGCAGGCACAAAAGAGTTCCAGTTCATCTGCTCAGCTGCAGCTGCTGGTAAGTACGTTATGTACACATTCGGTGCACAGTGCTGATGCAGGTGTTGACCACTGCAAACGGTCTTTTTTGACCAAAGCATATCTGGCCGTGTGGGTGCCCTGACTTGCAGCGCTTGACCTGGCGCCTGCAGCTTCCCAGAAATCAGCTGACATGAACGACTGCGTTGTAAATCATGTCAGGTTGGTGGGGGGAGATGTGGATCTATCAGTCTTCGAGCGTGGAAACACCAACTGCCGCCCCCTGCAGCTACGCACTACATATGGTAAGCAGTGATCAAGCTGACTCGTCACGTCAGAGCCATCAGTGTGGTTCAAAACCAATTTTCGAAACAAACGGCATCCGCGTGCCGCGTGCACGCATTCAACGACCCCTCTGGAGATCCCCTGCGGCCAGTACATAAAGACAGCAGGCCAGACCAGCCACACGCATATAAGGCACATGGCCATGCAGAGGGCCATACGCAGCGCACCAGGATCAACGACTTGTTCTATGTACCTGCTCCCAAAACCAACCCAGGTACTGTGCCCAAAGGTGCTCTTGGCTGTGCGGGATGCGCCAACTGCCGCCCGCCAACACCGGGACTCGCGAACTGAGATACGTGACCCAACCCTTTCACATGAACAGCAGTAGGCAGGCAACGACAGGAGGCCATGCGCAAAGTGCAACGAGCCAAAACGAGGGGAGAACAGGTGGATGGCAAGGCCTTGAGACAAACAGGTGAGCAGGCTCCGCCCTGAGCGCTGGCGGGTGTGCGAGGTGCTAGCAGCTGCAGCCGGCGAGGCAATTCAAAAAGAGCGTGCACGGGAGGGATTATGCAACCCGGCTGCAAGGCAATAGGCATGCTCGTGTGCAAGATTTCATCCGTTCAGCCGCTCTCAGCGGTGGCAAGGATGTGTTGGCAGCTTCCTAGTGTGACTAGCGCCGCCCGCGATGATGGCGTGGGCTCATGACAATCACGGGCCAGGGCATTGCGTGAGTGTGCGCTTGCTTAACTCTGTCATTTGTCACGCCCACGTGCCAGCCGCAGCTGGTCGACGTTGGCATCCCTGGCTGTTGCAACACTATTGCGCTGTCAATCTGTATGATAAACACGGCCGAACGCACAATACTCCATCTGTTGATGCAGGCTGCATGCCTCAGAGTCACGCAGATTGCTCCAAGGTAAAACACCATTGCCATTGCATTAGGCCCAGAAATCGCTGCCGACAAAACAAGATGCAACGGCAACATAAGATACAATGGCTCCCTGGGCCCTTTACCCGAACCCTGATGCAGATGATTTGTCTGTTACACAAACGCACATCTCACAATGACTCCGGGCGCGAAGACACCTTGAATATGGATCGATGCCCACAACCAGCAGCCTCAATTGCCCCAGCATAATCAAGCTGCTGTGGGTGAAGGGTTCAACCCGAATCAGCGCCCGGCAATCCAAAGTCAAGTGTGAGCCAGCAGGCACTGTGGGATTTGCAGCGTCAACACGTTGGCGGCAAAGACGGGTGACGACTGGGTGACGGGGCCTGGCTTCCGCTTGGCCCGCAGGGGAGGCCTTGAGGTGGTTGTGGTGATGACTGTGTTATTCAACAGCTGCGGCCTGCTTTTGCAGATCTAATCATCGATACAAGGAGGCCGACCGGCTGCCTCACTTCCTTGGACTGCATTATGGATAGCCCTAGCGCCCAGCAAAGAGGCAGCACCACAGTGGCAGCGGCCCCGTTGCGCGTGAGATGGTTTCCGCGCAACCCCGTTTCTGTGCCGGTCCTGTAGACGCACTCAAAAGCCGCAGGCAGTCGTGCCGTTAGGCGGGCACGCCTGGACGGAACACCCCGCAGCCAGCAGCCAGCAGCCAGAACCCAAGGTTCCCCCCTTCTCAAGGGAATGCTCTGCAACTTATATTTTGCAACTTATATTTTCAACCATCAACCGCTCCACATGTGTCCCTGCCGCACGGCCAAGCGCACCGCAAAATGTACAGACTTGGTACGCATTGATGTTCGATTACAGTCTGTGTGACACAACCCTCCACTGGTGTGACATTGCGTGTTGTCAGTCGTCGTGTTTGGACCCGTTAGTACGCGCGCGGGGCGCGCCACGAGGGAGCTGTCTTCAGAGCTAAAAGTGTGCCCCTCTCCTTACCTCATTCTCAGCGGTTCAATACCGTACATTGCGGCCACAACATGTCAACGGCAGGATTGGAACAATCCAAGAGTCTCGGCAATCCAAGAGTTTCCACATCCTATTGTGACAGTGTTCGGCGGTATCTTTATCATAGTCTATAGTGTCCATGCACAGCGGCATGCACAGTTGCATTGCCCGCCCTGTTTGCAAAGTGAAATCTGCCCCTCCGCTTGAAACAACAGATGCTCAGAACGAGAAGGTGCAGCTGCTCACCTGCACCCACGAGGCAAGTGGCTCGGCTGCGCCACTCCTGCCGTTGACTGTCAATCATACGGCACCAGGCTTTTACTGAATGTTTTGCGAGCGGTCGTGACGACATCAGCCTGCGTGTCGAGATCCAATTCCCGCGTTCGTTGGCCTCCTCGCAGATTGCACCCCCAGCCCAGGCCGCACAGTGTGTGTCTGCAGGATGCCGAAAACTCCTAGGTACAGCTGTGATCTGGGAAGTGATTGCCAGGAGAGCAGCGGCATGCAGCACACGTTTGAAGGGGCCGTCAAACACGGCGTGCGCTGCAGCGTTCCCGGATGCAAGTATGCCGTCTTCATGTGCAGCCAGAAGTGCTTTTCCTGGCATGCTAGCAGCGACAACCCTTGCCAGAACCCCTGCTGTGGCGAGGTGCGTGCGGCGTAGGCGCGTGGGGGGGGGGGCTTGCAGCCACCATGGGCGCATGCTCAGGGCCATGGGCGCATGCGGGGCGCCATGGGCGCATGCGGGCGCCATGGGCGCACGCGGGCCCTACATCAGATGACGTCATCAGATTCCTGCTGTCCACGCTTCCGGACCTCTGATAGTGGACCATGCCTGACTGTCTGCGTGCATGCGTGCGGCGCAGGGCACCAAGCTCGCAATTGACGCAGAGCTGCTGCGAGCCGCCCACACCCAGCCTCAGGCGCCCCCTCCCGCCGGCAAGCGGTGCGAGGCGCCCGGCGCCGCAGACGCCGCAGGGGGCGGCGCACCGCCTGCCAAGCGCCACAGCAGCCACCAACGCGAAGGGCAGCCGCGGTGCGCGGGCCAGGCGCCGAATCTGCCGTGTCTGCCACCGATGGGAGCTGGCCCCTGCTGGACTTCAGGCGCGGCGTTCGCGGCAGGGGCAGTCCCAATTGCGCAGGCTGGGGCGGTGCATGCGCTTGGTGGTGGCGCTCGCGGCAGCAGCAGCAGCAGTGCCACAGGCGGCGGCAGCACGCAGGCAAGCGGCCTCGGCGGTGAGGCGCTGCCTTCCGGCCCCCAGCCGTCGTTGCCTGCCGTGGCCAACAGCCTGCATGCAGCCCGCGCCGGCACGGGGCCTGCAGCACCGGTGCCACAGCCCCCGGCGTCCCCGCGCGCGGCGCCGCCCCGCAGCTCTGCGGGGTGTGACGCTGGCGACGGCTCGGCAGGCTGCCCGCACGTGACGCCGCACGCCGCCGCGCAGCAGGGCGTGCGTGCGGCGCCAGCGCTCGCTGCCCTGCTTCACCAAGCCTCTGCACGAGCCCCCGGCCCCAGCGCTCACACCAGCCCCGGCGTCTCCAGGCTGCTTCGCCCAGCCTGCGCTGATGGGCTCGCAGCAGAGACAACTGAGCAGGGTCGCCCAGCGACAACGGCCACGCTGCACGCGGTGCTGTCGCAGCAGCATGCCGCACCCCAAGACATTGAGTCGGGCGCTGACCCGCAAGTGGCAGCAGCAGGGGCAGCGCCATCAACGGTCGCAGTTGCGGCAGCACTCAAAGCCGCAGCTTTGGGGGCGGCTGCAGAAGCGGTGTCTGTGAGTGATGATCAACACCAGCAGCAACAGCAACAGCAGCCGCCGCTGCCGCAGCAGCAGGAGCAAGGGCAGCAGCCACAGCAGCTGCAGCAGCAGCAACAGCAGGAGCAACAGCAGCTGCAGCAGCAGCAGCAGCAGGAGGCACTCCTGGCGCCGGGCACACAGCTGTACCTGGCTGTCGAGCACCTCGCGGGTGGCATTCGACCCGACCCACAGGGCGGCTTGACCCTGCTGGTGGGCAAGAAGCTGGGGAGCGGCAGCTATGGGACTGTGATTGAAGTTACCTTGCAGGGCGAAGCAGGCGCTGATGGCAGTGCAAGCGCTGGGTTTGCCATGGGTGGTTGGCCCCACATGGGTGGCGCCTACGGGGCCGCGCCAGGCGCATGCGACGCTCTGCAGGGCGGCGACGCGATCGGCGAGGGCTGCGGTGGCGCCTTTCCCGGGGGCGTCAACTGCGGCGTAGGCAACGGCAGCGTGTTGGGCGGCCTCTGTCGTGGCCTGCAGGACTGCAGCGATGTCGGCAGCGCCGGTCCTGTGCTGGATGGCGGTGGGAAAGCCATTGGCGGGCCGTTTGGCGGCGCCGGCTCTAGCTTCGGGGGAACGAGCTTCAGTAGCTTCACTTTTGGCGGCTTTGGTTGGGCAGCAGGGCCGCGCCGTTTCGCCCTCAAGGTGTCGCACGACCCCGAGGGAGGCCACGACCTGGAGGTCGAATATGCTGCGATGACACGCTCAGCCACGTCCTGCCCCGGCGCCACCTGCGGCGGACCAGACCAGTACTTTTGCATGGCCGACCACCACGTGCTGCGCGCTGAGGCGCTGGGCATGGTGAGCGTCGGCGGCGGGCAGCTGCGGGCGCTGCTGATGGAGTATGCTCGGGACGGCAGCCTGCTGGACCTCATTGACACGCGGCGGGCAGAGCAGCAGGAGCGGGTGGGGCGCGGCGAGGCCCCGGGCGATCTGTTCAGCGACGACGAGATCCGCCAGGTCGCGCGCCAGGTGGCGGTGGCGCTGCACCAGCTCCATGTGCACGGGAGGTTCATCCACAGGGTGAGGGGCTGCAGGGGCATCAATGGGGGCTCCGGAGGTGTGCGCTCGGGGTCCGCCTTTGGGGCAAGTGGAGCCGGCAACCCAGCCAGTGTGGGGCGCCAGGACGCTTTTCACAGTTTGACTTGCACTAGAGGGTGGAGCCAAGGGCCCAAGCCAAGGGCCACTTCAAACTTCACTGCGCCATGCCTCCCTCCGAGCCCTCTACACAATAGCTCCTTGCCTCCCAGATCCCTGAGCAGCACGGCCTTCCCCGGGTCAACATCACCTGGCACCCCCTCCCTCCGCAACGCCCCATCAGGACGTCAAGCCGGCAAACATACTCCTGAAGAACAACGGCTCGGATGGAGGGCCCCTGTTCATCAGCTTGGGGGACATGGGAAGCGCCTTCGACATCATCGCTTCGGCAGAGGGCGTGGCACACTCGCCAGGTGGGTGCTTGTGCACTGCTCGTGAAGCTGGCTGAGCTGATGCTACCAGCTACACGCATGCAGCTGCATGACTAGCATGCTGACGCAGGAACAACTTTGCGCATGTGAATGCAATTCATAATTGCCAGAACATCTCACTTGCAGCGTGAGCAACATCCCCCCCGCCCGCATATCGCATCCCGCCTATGATCCAGATGCTCATTTTATCCCGCCTATTCACGTGCTCATTTCAACCCCATGCATGAATGCCCTGTTAAATGATGTTCAAGCCTGCACCCACCGTTCACCCACCCACAGCCGGCACCCCTGCCTATGGCTGCACGGAGGGGCAGCAAGTGCTGCCTACCGGGCGGCACCTCAACATGCGCTATGACACGTCCAGGGACAGCCTGGCGCTGGCCCTGACGCTGCTGGAGCTGCTGACAGGCGCCACGGTCGCCGACACCATCAAGGGAGCCGGCCAGGCCCCTGCAGCCTCCAACATCCCAGCAAACCTCGTGCCCGACCGGCTGAGGGCGCCCCACCTGCCCCCGCTGCTGGACGACGACGCACTGCCCTACAAGGCGCTGCTGGCGGCGCGCGGCCAGCTCGGCCAGGACATGCGCGGCCTGGTGGCCTCCTGCCTGGACAAGGAGGGGCGCATGTCGGCGTCGCACATGCTGTATTGCCAAAAGCGCAGCCAGCGCATCCGCACGGAGCCGCGCGGGCTTTTCCCCCTCCTCGAGGTCACCCGCTCGAAGGTGCGGCGCGGATTTTTTGATTGAGTGCGGGGCGATGCATGCTGCCGGCCGCACCAGCAACACCGCCTTCTTTTCTGCACTCCTGCGCCCGCCATGAGCAGTGCTGTTGTCTGATGGAGCAAGCAGGCACTGCTTGGCGCTCAAATTCCGGCTGCACATGCGTGGGTGCTTTTTGTGTCGCCGTCTTGACGCGGCCTTGCAGCGACCTTTGAGCACCTGCATGAATAGGGTGCAGCGACTTCCCCTCGCACGCACGCAAGCATGCATATTCGCACTCAAGCTTGCATGGTGTGTCCTGGCCCGGCGGTTTGTGGTGCAACGCCACGTGCTGCCACTTCAACTCTCCTACTGCATGCCATGCTTTGTCCTGTAAGATTTTGTTACTTGAAAAACTTCCTTGCTTCCATGTTGAGGCGCTACGGCCTGTGCTGTTGTGGTCTGGCAGGCTGGCAGGCAGCCGCACGTGCTGACATGCTCTTGCAAGCAGCTGCAGAAAGCAAGCGAAGCAGGCTAGGCGCCTGTGTGGCGGGTGCAGGCCGGGAGGTCAAGGGAAAGGCAACAAGGCAGCTACATATTGGGGCAATGCAGGGCTGACAAGATCAAGCTGCAATACGCACCGACAAGCGCATGCGCGCGCGCACGCGCGCGATTACACCCCCTCCCCACACACACACACAGAGTGCGATGAGACGTTGCTGAGCGCCACCCAATGGAAGTTTTTATATGGAAATGTGCAAGGCGGGCGTGCGCCCACCAACACTGGCGCCGCATGCCGTCCGCGGTTTGCAGCGGTGTGATTCAACAGCAATGCAAGCGCGATGCAAGCCCTCTGTGTGCAGCTCAGCTGTGTGCAAAAAGCAGGTGCGGCAGCTGCCGAGCTGAAGCCACTGCAACAACACAGGACGAGCAAGTCACAGTACAAGAACTTGTATTTCAGCAGAACGCTGCTCGTGTCGAGGTGTGCGTGGTTGATGTTGGGCTGACTGCCATCGATTGACTAGATTGACTGGCAGCAACTGAGCAACGCACGTTGACTCATGATCATATGGGAACGCAGCACACTGGCTGGATGTTTGGTTGAGAGGCCCATTGCACCGCAGGCAGCCGATACGAAGACTTCAATATCGCAGCGCGTGAGGCTGACTGTGATTCGATCGACGCCGGGATGCAGCTGGCGGCGGGAGATGGACTCACATGCGCTGGTATATCACCCACGACCAAAACGTAAATGGCACATGCAATGCAATGCAATGAGCATCGCGGCCACCCATTGAAAGAAGTGCAGCCTTTTCAAGCTAGGATCCGTATCTGATCTCGGCCGTGCTGATCACGGTGGCGACGGTATACTACTCAAGAGTGCACGCGGCGCTCGTGCAAAGCGCTGGGCGTCGAATCCTTAATCCTTTGATCGTACGCCAGTATCGGCGAGCAACTCGCCCCATGGCGGCCGCAGCAGTTGATGCGCCGGCGGATGTTTCGGCGAAGCGCCGCAAGACCATAATTGGCACGCACAACGGCACCTTCCATTGCGACGAAGCGCTTGGCTGCTACCTGGTGCGTGCGTGTGATCGCAGCGCGTGTGCAGGCGCTTGCCTGCGCGGCTTGACTGAGGTCGCCCGCCCCCAGGAGGGCAGGCAGGTAGCACCCCGCCGAACGGCGCAGACCATGGCGCGCCACTGCCTGCCAAACCTGCTCCTTCCAAATCCACCCCTCTTGGATGCGCAGCTGCGCCAGACGCCCGCGTTCAAGAATGCAGAGATCGTGCGCAGCCGCGACCCAGCAGTGCTGGCGACGGCTGACGTGGTTATCGACGTGGGCGGCGTGTACGAGCCGGAGAACCAGGTTTGTGTGAACATGGGAATGTTTGAATGACAGAAAACGGATGTGTGTGCAACATTTTGCGTGCGCAATTTGTGTGTACAGGATTATGAGAAAGGCAGTGTGTGTGTCTGTGAGTGGCCCAGGTGTAAATGCGTCCCTGATAGTATGTGCGTGTGGGTGTGAGTGTGTAGCGCACACATGCGGTGGTTGACATGTGCGAGATACTGGTGCAAAGGCATGCTGCCATGCAGGAGTGGCAGGGCTGGGCTCAGCCGTAGGACTGGACAGGCGGGGCTCGGCAGCCGTGGCTGCCGAAGTTCTGCTTCATATGCAGGGAACAGTCACCCGGGTTGCAGCCATGGGCGGGGCCGCGTCGGGCCGTTCCAAGCCGGTGCCAGCTGCCGAACGGACGCAGTGTCTGGGGCTTGCTGAAATGGCCACATACCTGCAGCTGACGTCAGCAGAAAAGCGTCGCCCTCGACCCTACACTCCTCCCGCACCCAAACCGTGGCCGCGCCTCCAGCTGCTGCGGCCGTCCTCGTCACTGCCCTCCCCGCCCCACATCCCCCCACGCATCCCCTCAGCGCTTCGACCACCACCAGCGCGGCTTCTCGGAGGTGTTTGGCCACGGCTACGTGACCAAGCTGTCCAGCGCGGGCCTGGTGTACAAGCACTACGGCCGCACCATCGTGGCGCAGGTGACTCCGCAGGCTGCCCCCCGCTTGCGCAAGCAATCTCCGGGCGACGGCGTCGCTAGTTTGCCCTCACTTTCTGCGTGAAGATAACCGGCGCGATAACGGCTGACGGAGTCGTTTGACGGCGGACTGGTCGGCGCCGTTGTGTCACCCGGTCCTGGCCGATCTCCAACCCTTGGCTCGCATTACAACGGCCGAGTGCCATATCACATAATTGCTGTCCACTCCACCCACCCTGTCATTGGCCCCAGCACATGGGCCTGCCCGAGGACAGCGCCGACGTCACCGCGGTGTGGCTGGAGCTTTACAAGAGCTTCATCGAGGCCGTTGACGGCGTCGACAACGGCGTCAACCAGTACGAGAGCGACAAGCCGCCGAGGTGGGGGGTTGGTGACGTTCTATCTCCGCAGACCGAGGCGGCAGCCAGCCGCCAGCCGCACCTGCGCGCGCGCGTCGCCGCGTGCGGCGGCACGAGGGGCAAAGCCTGCCAGCCATTGCATGTTTTGGTGGTTGCAACCTCTACTTGGTGTTTGGCTTGAGTGAAGGACTGCAGAACAAACGGAACATGCGTCGCGATTTGGTCAAATTCTTGTGATACTGCCGCTCACCCCGCAGGTATGTGGTCAACACCACCCTGCCGGCACGGGTCGGCGCTCTCAACCCACAGGTCAGCGCGCACCCCTGAGCGCGCCCCTCGGTGGGCACCTGCATACGAATGGTGACTGCCAGTGCGTTGAACGGGCCGGCACCTTCTCCTGCCGCTGACGGCCGGCAATCCTTTAGTCAGCTTGAATCAGCTGTCCTTCAGATGACAGGGGCCGTCCTTTGTGCGGCAAATGAGCCCGCAGAGACCCCTGGCATGCACCGCACCCGCACCCCGACAACCATCAAACCCCCAACCCTTGCCTGTTACTTTCTCTTTGCCAGTGGAGCGACCCCTACACGGACGACTCCCTGCTGGCCGGGTTCCTCAAGGCGGTGGAGCTCACAGGTGGGGACTCTGTGTGACAGGATCCACTAAGCAGGCATGGGAGGGCCCAAGAAAGAAGCAAGCAGCGGGAGGCGCGCGCCCTGGGGACACCCCCCAAGGGGACGCCCCCCAAGCTGACACTCCCCAAGGCAGTGTAGTGTTCCCGTGGGGGGCGTCCCCTTGGGGAGTGTCCAAGAACGGGGGAAACGGGGAAACGGGAAAACGGGGGAAACGGGGAAACTGGGGGGCGTCCTCCCATTCCCGTCAGCGGCGGGGGGCAAGGGCGCGTAGGCGGCGAGGCAGGCCGCTCGGGCGCGCTCGTCCCTGCTTTTCTGCTGGCGTGGTGCCTATTCTGCCGATCGTGACGCCTGCCCGTGGGCCTCAATCAGCCCTCGCGGCTCCTGCGCGGCCAAGCCTGGCCGATGCGGGCGGAACTCCCAGTCACCAGCAGGCCGGCCGGGCCAGGTGGTCTGCCTCTCGCCGCCTGTTGCTCTCCCCTCTTGCACCACTTCTTTGACTCACGATTACTCCACACCCGCTTCCTGCCCCCCACAGGCCGGGAGTTTGAAGAGGCGTTGATATATGTGTCGCGGTACTGGCTGCCCGCCAAGTCCCTGGTGGCTGCGGCGGTGGCGGCGCGGCACGAGGTGGACGCCTCCGGCCGCATCATCAAGCTGCCGCAGGTATATGTCTTGATCGCGTACAGCAATTATAGTGTTGTCCAATTTTATTGTTGGTCAAGCTGATGTCAGCCTCAGAGGCTGCTTCGCCGCCGCCCAAGGCACAACAGCTGAGCCGCTCGGAGGCGCTGTGCGTCCTGGGCCAGCGGCAGAGCCAGACCCGCTGACTTTTGGTGCACCGCAGCCGGCCTGGCACTGCTGGCGGCCCTCATGCCCGCCTCCAACTATTTCTTGGCACAACCTCGGCTTTGCGCATCCCTCCAACCCGCCACCACCTCTTGCTCGCCGTTTAGGGCGGCGTCCCCTGGAAGCAGCACCTCTACACCCTCGAGCAGGAGGCCGGCATAACCTCGGACGCCTCCATCCTCTTCGTGCTGTACGAGGACGACCGCGAGAAGAAGTGGCGCATACAGGCCGTCAGCGTCGGCCCCGGCAGGCGCGCGCCCCCGCCTCGTCCCTGGCCGCCGCGCCACAACTGCTTCCCCCCTCCGCATTTCCTCTGCCCCTATGCTTAGCGTTCTCTCCGCTCGAGGGACTCTTTAAGCATGAGAAAAAAGACACTTAGACGACACGCCCCTTCTCTCTGTTCGACCCGCAGCTTCGAGAACCGCAAGAACATTGGCACCCAGGCCTGGCGCGGCCTCCGAGACGCCGCGCTCAGCGAGGTCGCGGGCGTCCCCGGCTGCGTGTTCTGCCACGCATCGGGCTTCATTGGGGGCAACGACACCTATGACGGGGCCCTCGCCATGGCGCGGCTCAGCCTCGCGGCGCCGGACGAGTGACGTGGGGCGCGGTCCCGCGCCGAGGCTGCCCTTCCACGCGCTCTGCAGCTGGCTGGCTTGCTGTTTGCTTGGCAGCTTGTGGTGCGGCCACGGCAAGCGGTTCACTGCTCTTTCAAACTGATTTGCCGCCAGATGAAACGTATTACAGGCAGGGTTTTGCTTGCAGTGTGCATGTGCTGTCGCCAAGCACAGGCGGTTGCAAGACTCAGCACGCAAAAGCTCAGCTGTTGGCGAATCACCCAGACAATTCGTGCACGCCTACGTAAAGGGCTTGCCTCCTGCGGCTAAGTGGGGCAGGAGCGACGCTGGTTGCTGCTGCTGCTGGTGCTGCATGTGAAAAAAAACCACTGTAATACCCAATTTTGCCGCTGCCTAGGAATTGAGGTGGGGGCTGGACACAAAACAATTGAACAGCCCAGTTGAAAAGGATTGGCAAAGAAAGGCAGCTGGCCAGCGGTTCTCAAGAGGATATACTCGCCCGCACTCACAAATGTCCAACCCCCCACAACACCAAACAAAGACACGATGTAAAGGATTGCGACAGATGCACGTTTACGCAGTGTGAGTCGGCAAGCACAGCCGCCGGGCTCACTGCACGGGCTCGACTCAGGGCTCTGGCGCACCGCTAGTGACATTTGGGGCGACGGCCCTGTGCGCGCCGCGCGGCGCGCGCCCGCACTCGTCGCTGAAGTGCCCTATTTCTCCGCAGTAGCCGCACTCGGGGAAGGGGCACTCCTCCGCTGAGTGGGACTCGCCCTTCTTGCCAGCCCCCAGCCCGCACCGCGCGCACGCGTGCCCGCACTCCCCTTCGACGTGCCCCGCCCGCCCGCAGCCCCCGCAGCGCGGCAGCGGGCAGGCGCGGAACGCGCTCGCCGCGTGACCGCGGAAGCCGCAGGAGCCGCACAGGAGGTGCGTGCGCGGGAGGATGGGGGGCGGCGTGCGCCACTCGGCGGGCCTGATGTCACCGGAGGGGTTGATATAGGTTTCGTTGTGGTGCGTGACGGGGCCCGGCATTATTGCAGGCAGCGGGTCCTCTTGCCCCTGCCCCGCTTGCTGTTTGCGGCTGCCGCCTCCCTGCTGCTGCTGCTGCTGCTGCTGCTGCTGCTGCTGCTTCTGCTGCTGCTGCTGCCGAAGGCGGCCATGCTGCTGCTGGCCAGGCGTCTCGGTGCGACCCTGCTCATGTGCTGGCTGTTGTTGCTGCTGCTGCTGCTGCTGCTGCTGCTGCTGCTGCTGCTGCTGCTGCTGCTGCTGCTGCTGCTCTTCGCGGCTCACCGGCGCCTCCTGCAGGCGCTCCGCCTCCGCAGGCCTGCGGCGGCTGGTTGGAGGGTCGTCCCTGCCGCCACTGCTGCTCGCGCCGCCGCTGCTGGTGCGAATCACAGCCTCGCCTGCCGCCGCAGCCCGCCCCTCCTCCGCCTCCTGCTGCGCCTGCCCCTGCCGCCGGTCATGCTGCGGGCCCCGGCCGGCCGCGCCCACCCCCAGCTGCTCATGCGCCGCTGGCGCCGGCTTCGACTGGCGCCGCAGGCGCCGGCGCTCGTCCTCCGTCGCCCGCAGCGCGATCAGGCGCCGCCGCGCGGAGATCCTCTCGCCGATCCACCCCACTGGCCGGCCGACAGCCGCTGTCGTTGCAGCGAGCCTCTCAAGGGGCGGCATAGGCTCCCGATCCGCCGCAAACCGCAGCCGCAGCGCCTCTGCATTTTCTGGGCTGAGGGCGGCCAGATCTTCTGAGATCAGGATCTTGATGACGTCATCCATGCTGGGAACATCCGGCGCCGCTTCTGCGTCTGGGGCCGCTGCTGTGGCTGCCGGGTTGGCGGCCGGGCCGCGTGCGGTACCTCGGGTACCGCGCCTCGTCCTTTGCCGCTGCTGCTGCTGCTCCTGATGCTGCTGCTCCTGCTGCTGCTGCGGCTGCTGCTGCTGCCAATTTGGTTGCTGCTGGTGCTGCCGCTGCTGCTGCTGCTGCTGTGGCTGCTGCTGCTGCTGCTGTTGCTGCTGCTGTTGTTGTTGCTGCTGCTGCTGCTGCTGTTGTTGCTGCTGCTGTTGTTGTGGCTGCTGCTGCTGCTGCTGCCCTGTTGGCTGCTGAATGCCAGCCATGCAGGCCGGCGCTGATGCTGCCACCGCCTTAGCCCCAGCGAAGGCTGCCAGGGCGATTGGCGCTGCAGCAGGCAGAGCCTCTGGCAGCTGTGCCGAGGCGCCCGAGATTTCTGCTCCGCCGCCGCTGCCGTCGCCGCTGCTGGGCTGTTGCTGCTGCTGCTGCTGCTGCTGCTGCTGCTGCTGCTGTTGCTGTTGCTGCTGCTGCTGCTGCTGCTGCTGTGGCCGCCGCACGCGGCCGAGCACCTGCAACCCCTCCTTGGGCTGTGCGGCGCCGGCCGCGCCTGGTGCGACAGAAGGGCGCTTGATGGGCCACACGGGTGCGGCCGGCAGCTGGGGCTCCGCGTCGGCCCCCGTCGGCTGCATTCCCCACGGGGCACCGCCCAACGCGCCGGCGCCGCCCCCGCCGCCGGCGCCGCCCCTCCGCTCGTCGCTGCCCTGCTGCTCTCGCGGCACGCCGGGCGCGTCCCGCCGCGGCGGCCCCTCCGCCGCGGCGCCCGCCTGCTCCTGCGGCGCCACCCGCACGGGCGCGTACGTTCCCCCGGCGCGCGCCTCCCGCAGGAGCGCCCCCAGCGGCCGGAAGCACCGCCACCGCGGCTTGAGCTTGCCGGCGCCCGGGGTTGCGTCGCGGCAGTCGACGCCGCAGACGCGCGTGCCCAGGTCCAGCTGGCCACCCCTGAACCAGTCAAGAAGGTCCGAAGCCTTGATGGGCCCCCGCATCGCGCCATCCTCGTCGAATATGAACCAGGACGGCCACTTGGTGTAGGGGAGGCGCGCGGTGAAGAGCGCGAACGCGGCCGCGTCGTCGCTGCTGCCCTCGAGCGTCTCCTGCTGCTGCTGCTGCTGCTGCTGCTGCTGCTGGGGGTTGTGGTGTTGGTGGTGTGGCTGCGGCTGCGGCTCGTCGGCCGCGGGCGAGCGCGGCGCCGCGCTCGTCTCCGACGGCCGCTCGCTTTTGTACAGGGGCGGTGGGCGCGCGCGCTGCGGCGGCTCCTGTGCCGCAGGGGTGGGGCCCTCACCCACCTCAGCCGCAGCCAGCGCCGCCGCGCTCACGCCGGATGCCTCCCGCCGTTCTGGGCTGCTCTTGCTGCGGGACGGGGCCCGCGCCACACGCCCGATGACTTGAAACCTCGGTGCAGCCGCCGCCGCTGCTGCCGCCGCCGGCGGCGCCTTGGCGCGCGCCGCGGCCGCCGCGGCGCCGGGCCAGGAGGGGGCGGGGCCACCCCCGGCTCCGGCGCCGCCTCCCAGGTCGCCGCTTGGTGCGAGCGACGCGCCGTCGATGCCGCCGCTGCCGCCGTTGCCGCCGACCGCGCTCGGGATTGGAGGGCGTGCCTCCTCCCAAGGGTTGTCGCCCTCCGTAGCCGCCGCCCCCGCGTCCCCCCAGAGAGCCACAGCGGCCCAGCTGCCCGGGCCCTGTGCCCCAGCCGCACCATCAGTCGCTCGCTCCGGTTCCCCCTGGTCAGGAGCATTGCCGCCTGCTGCTGCGCCCGCCGCCCCCGCCCCTGCTTCCGGCCAGGCTGCTCCCCGCAGCTCTGCCTCGGCCGTCGCCGCGCCTTCGTTCGCATCCCCGACGCCCCAGATCAGATCAAGGATCGAGCTGTCGTCGTCCCCCAGATCGTCAGATCCAGTTTGAAAACCGGCCGCCGCCGGCTCAAACTGCACCCCCTCGCTCCGCGCTGCACCTGGACCGCCCGCCGCGCCGTCGGCCCCGCCGCCGCCGCCGGCAAGCAGCTGCTCGAGCGCCTGCGACGCCAGCGCCGTCGCCGCCGCCCCGAGCTCGTTGGGCGCGGCGGCCTGCGCCCCGCGGGGCGGGCTCGAGAACCACGCACGTGCGTGCGCAGGGAGCTCCGGCGCGGCAGCCGTGGCGCCCGGCGCCGGCGCCGGCGCCGCCGGTGCCGCTGCCAGTGCCGCCGCTGGCGCCGCTGCTGGCGCCGGTGCCGGCGCTGGCGTGGTGCCCTCGCCGCCGGCGAGTCCCTGCAGCCATTCCAAGTGCGGCCCCGCCTCGACCTCTGACAGCAGCTGATCCATTGGCCTGAACCGCGCCCGCCCCCCCGGCGGCGGCGCCGGCGGCGCCGCGCCGCCCGTGACACCGCCGCCGCCACTGTCAGCCACTTCTGCCGCCAGGCAGATCAGGAGGTCTGGAGGGAAGAACCCCGCCGCCTGCCACTCCAGCATGTCGAGGGCCTTGAAGGGGCCCCGAATCACATCCCCGGGGTCTACGTACCACCAGACCGGCCACCCGCCCGCCGCGCGTCGCCCGCCGGTGAACAGCGCCGCCGGCCGCGGCGACGCCGCCGCGGCGGCGGCGCTGTCCGGCGGCGCGCGCAGCAGCTTGCGCAGCGCCTCCTCGTCTTCTGCATCCCGGCGCCGCGCAGCGGCGTCGCGGGGCGGCGCGGACGCCACGGCGGGCCGCAGCTGCTGCAGCTCCAGACGGACCTTCAAGCAGAGCAGGAGGCACGGAAGCCATGGTCAGCCCCGCTGCTCAAAGGCCATGCGCCTGCAACGATGCAGCAGAAGTCTGCTCCGGGAGCCAGCAGCCAGCGGCCTCAGCGCCCACGGACAGACGGAGCCGTCCCCACGGCCTGCTACCTGCCGGCACGCACACAGGGCGAATTGCCCGAGCCTGCATAGCACCTTCGGATCGCACACCACGCGCCGGGACGCGCGCTCGGCCGGAACGAAATTCAAATCGCTGCGCCGACAGCTCACCTGATCTAGCTCCTCCAGCAGCTTCCCAAGCTCCGCCTCGAACCCCGCCTTGACCCGTTCGGCCTCCTCACGCCAGACCCTCTCCCTAGCCTCCCACCCCGCCCGCTCCGCCGCCCATGCAGCTCGCTCTGCCCCCCACGACGCCCGCTCCCGCTCAAGCGCCCGCAGGCGCGGCGGCAGGCACTCAACCGCGTGCGCGCCGCGCTCGGGGGCCGGCAGCGCCGCGCCGCAGCCGGGGCACGGCCAGGGGCGGCCGGCGGCGCAGGATGACTCGTGGTGACTCAGGTCTGAATACTCTCCCTTCCACTCGCAGCCGGCGTGGCCGCAGGTCACCTGCACGACGACAGGGGTCCATCCGATCACTACTGTAGGTGGATGCTCAACATTGCACCAGCCCCAGCTGCTTGCACAACCCCCAAAGCTTCAGCAGTTTTCTGCCAGCGGCCGCACCCGGGACAAATCTGGCGGCCTCGTGCCCTTGGCTATGCCGCCCACAGGTGCTCACCACGATACGCCCCAGCATCCGGTGCAGCGCCTGCACCGCGTGCTGAGTCAGCATGACTTCCTCCTGCCTGATCTGGGAGCTGCACTTCGGGCACGTCCAGCCGCCGCGCCCGAGCCAGCCGCGGAGGCACGCCATGCACGCCATGTGCGAGCATTTGGTGTACGCGGCGGCGCCGAATGGTACGATGTTGTAGCATATTGGGCAGATGAATTCGTCCAAGTCTGCTTCGTTGCGGTCAACCGCGCGCTCAGGCGCGAGCTCGCTCGCCACCAGTGCCGCCGCCACCTCCATGGCGCGGTGCCGGGGCGGCGCCAGCCGCTGCCGGCGGCGGCGGCCGCGATGTAGGGTGAGGCGTCGCCTATTGTCGCATCGGCTGGAGAAGGCACTGGCGCTGCCAGACAGGGTGAGGGGCCACCTCGCCCTTGCACGCTACAGTAGTGCGCCTGCGGCGCCGCTCGAATGACGGACGGTAATGCTGCAGCGATATGGGCGATGCTGATGATTGCGAAGGATTGGTGGTTGAGCTGTTGAGACACGGGCTGGGCGATGGGCGATTCGGGCGATTGCGACTGGAGACAAGCTGCAGGTGGAGGTATCGACTCAACAGGAATGATCACGGCGCCGTGTATTGCCTAACATGATGTGTACCCAACACCAGGACAATATAATCAGTCGATGGTCGAGTTTGCCTGAACTCCAGATCTGCCCGCGCGATCCCTCAAAAGTTGTGCAGTGCCTTTGCACCATCTCCTTGAGAAGAGTGAGCCGACAGCCCCATTTGCATTGCGTAGTGCAGCCAGGTGTGGCGCCATCCTTCCCTGGGGAGGCGGCGTGCTGCGCGGGCGTCGGCATTGCGGCACGCCCTTGCCGGTACGCCATCTTCAGAGGCGGGCGACCTGCACGGCCGCCCACCTTACGAGCCGCAAGTCTACAGAGGATTACATTATAGCTTTAGCAGCTGCAAGGCCTGAGGCGCGCTAACGTCAGCGCCATCACTGCCAAGTGCCGCCGCCGCGCCGGCGATACGGGCGCCCGCAGCCGCGGCGGCAGCACGCGGCGACGACGGCAGCAGCGGCGGCGTCCGCAGCAGCTGCGGCTGCGGCTGCGGCTGCAGCTGCTAGTGCACATCAAGCACCTGAGGCGCAATGGCTGGCTTCTTTCGATTGGTCGTGGAGGAGTTGGGCTACGCAGAGTGCCGCATCGACGCGCCGCGCGCGAGGTGGCACGCCGGCCTCTTCTCGCAAGTGCTTCCCTCCCTCCTGTGCTCCCTGGTGGGTGGCTCGCTGTGGCACGTCCAAGCCATTACCCTAAGCAACATGCCATGCCGTCCAGTGAGCAGCTTCAATGTTTGAAATCCTGCACCTCCCCTTGATCAACCTTTGTATTGCTGCTGTGTCACGCCATTGGTGGCAGGGTGTGTGGGCCATCCGCTACTATCAGCTGCAGCTCATTTGGTGGTTCCCACCCATCGCAGCAAAGGTGGGCAATGCGCGTTGTCATCCCCTTCAGGCGCCTGCCGAGCTGTGTTGCGCTGTGCAGCCGTCGCTGAATTTGTTAGTTGCGTGCAGCACCCAAAGCAAGCCGCCTGGATTACTTGAGCTTGTCCGCGATTTCCCAGGCCTTGCTGATGGCGCTCTGCTGCTGGGGCTATGTGCGGTGGCTCAACCCGCTGGAGTACGGTGCGTGCGGGCCTGGGGACACCGGACCACGAATCTTGAGCCCTAGTTATCACACCAGCGTCTGCCACGGCAGCAGCGGCAGCAGCAGCGGCATCGGCAGGGGCGGAGGTGGTGGCTGTGGCGTTTGCGGCAGCAGCAGCAGCAGCAGCAGCAGCGGTAGAAACAGCAGCAGCAGCGATTGCTCACCCGTACGCATCTCTGCAAATGTTAAACAGAGTCTGTGGCTGTCAAGCGGACGAGGGGGGTGGAGATCTGCACCCGGTGGCGGCGCTTTGAGCATGCGGTGGTGATACCCTTCAAAGACCTGGTGGCAGTCACAATACAGGAGGTGATCCCGGAAGCCGAGGGGGCGACCCCGCGGCGCCTGCCAGGCGGCTGGGGACTGCGGCTGCTCCTCTTGTGAACAGGCCCGCCTCCAGGTGCTGTCCTGAAGCCATCTCCAGGGTGCTGGGCTTGAGGGGCTGGGTGTGGGTTCGCATCGCCACTTCAATCTTCGCCGATTCCCAATGCCGCGTCCCCAGGTTTCTGACCGGCGGCTGCTGCTAACATTCCAAGGGCGCAGCTCCACCGTCCACCAGGCGTTCAAGGTGGGCCGGGCTGAGGGGCCCTGCGATGCCTTGCCCTTGCAATCGGCATGAAAGTACCCGCATGGTCAATGCCAGGCTCCCAGACGCCGCCCTCGTGTGATACGCCCTGCGGTCGTCCGAAACCCAGCGCGCCCTCGACTTAATCATGACCTTCTCCTCTCTGCAATGCCTGCCGTCATTGTGTTTGCAGCAAACCGAGCCCGGCCTGTTTGCCATCGCTGAAGTGTACACCTCGATCTCTGTGCTACTCCCGCGCCAGGTGTGCATGTAGCGCGTGTTTGTGTGTGTGTGTGTGTGTGTGTGTGTGTGTGTGTGTGTGTGTGTGTGTGTGTGTGTGTGTGTGTGTGCGTGTGCGTGCATGCATATTGTGTGTGTGCATATGTGTGTGTGTGTTGATGTGTGCGCAAGGGCGTTCATCGGAATTTGGAAATTCTGCCAAATGTTGCAGCCACATGTCTGCACCACTGGACCAACATCAACCTTTCATGCCCACGCCACACCACCTCCCAATTGTGCAGGTCAAGAAGGGCCGCGTGCTGAGCCTGCTGCGCGGCCAGTCGCGCGCCTGGGCAGTCACCCGCTGGGCCGTCAAAGAGGCCGACTTTTTGACTGCCTACTTGCTGAGCTGGCGGCGGTGCGTGGCCGACCACGCCCGCGCCGCCTGGCACTGGTGGCTGCGGAAGTACAACAAATTGCGGAGCTCCGAGCGGTTCTGCGCATGGGCCGACGCCGCGGCGCCTGTGCTGGATCGATTTCGGTGGCTGCTCGAGGTCGCTGCGGCTGCATCGCGCCTCGTGTCCGCCTTGGGGCCTGTTGCCTCTGCGGCGTGGCGGCAGCTGTCGCAGGCGGCTGCGGCAGCCGCGCGGCAGGCGTGGGAGTGGTTGCAGGACGGCGGCGAGGGCGGCGGGCCAGGGTGGGGCCCGGGTCTGCGGCAGTCCAGGGCGTCGGGCGCCGGGCCGCGCGGCAGCAGCAACGGCGGCAGCAGCAACGGCGGCAGCGGCGGCGGTAGCAGAGGTGAAGGTGTCAAGCGGCCGAAGAGCCGCAACAAGGGGCGGAAGCACTGAAAAGCGCTGTTGGCAGCATGCCACGTGAGCACGAATTGATCACAAGCACCATGCAGGAAAGCTCTTTTAGCAGCCCGGCGGCCCAGCAAAGGTAGCTGCATGATCACAGCAAACAGATGGGTGTTGCTGCACCAGGCGCCCCGATGGCACCGCTTGTGCTGAGCCCACTCGTCTTACCCATTCGGTACAACCAGTGCAGATTTATGCGTGCTTGCTTGTCGCATCACGTGCTTGCATTGGTTCAAGTGTTCTTGGTAGGTGTGCGCGCCACCGGCTGTGTGCAAGCACCCTTGTCCTTCTTCTCACGGCCCTCGATGGATGATCATGGACAATCAAACCTGCATCACGTTATACATTACATGTCAACGTGTCTATGGATGTTACAGATGTTGACCTGAATATTATAAGTCGTCAATGAAACGCTGTGGCGCTGGGCAGGAGAGTATCTTGCCCTGGCAGGGCAACAGCTCGCAAGCATGCACAAGAATGCGGCTTGGGTCCAAGATGCATGCATTCAGACCAATGACGTGGAAGTGAACATGTGCACCGTCCTCTTGCCTGTTGCAAGTTTGAGCCAGCCAACCGTAGCTGCACTGCCCGGCTCCCTCCCGAGGTGACCTGGACTACTGTTGCTGAGCTGCTGGGGTGCATCCTGGCCCACATGCGATCTGATCGGACGCGCCACTTGATTGATAATAATTTTTTATTTTTCCGGCTTTATCTGCAACATAGCAGTGATAGTGCACCCACCAGGCGCGGACGAACCATCGCAGAGCTGGCAAAGAATAGGACAGAAGGACACGACTTAGTATATTACCACGAACAGTATGACAGAAGCTGTGACAGAGGATCTGGAGACCAGGGTGCGCGGTTGGACGACAGCAAGTTGCTCTGCACTTGCTGCTGCTGCTGCTGTGTCCAGCATGGCGATCGTGGCGCATCCAAGGACGGACGGCTCACATAGGCCGTATGTACACCTTTCTGCAGTACGATGGCTTCAAGGCATGCTTTGGCGGCGAAGAGCTGAAGCGCGCGTGCGCAACGCTGTCCGGCGCGCTCGTGGGCAGCACAGGGCAGGTGAGTGCAGCTGCGGCCGCGGGTCGTCGCCACTGGTGGCTCCGTGGCTCGCAAGCGCGGCCCAGCAGTCGAAAATGTATCTTCAGAAGGAAACATCTCCGAATCAACGCTGTTGAACCCGACTGCCGTGCCACACAAGCACAGTTCGCTTTGCATCACTCGTCGACCCCACCCACAAGTCCTGTGTATGCGCGCGCGCACACGCCACGCACGCACGCACACACGCACACACACACACACACACACTCTCACACACACAAACACACAAACACAAACACGCACACACACACACACAAACACACACACCGGCCGCCGCGCGGCGCCCCTCCGTGCCCGCAGTCGCCCCTGCAGACGCTGGCCCAGGACCCGGATCTGCACGTCAGGGAGCTCGCGTTCGCGGCGCGCCAGTACGCGCTGTCGCTGGCTCACGCGCCCAAGGACTACGATTCGCTGTACAACCATGGGCTGGTGCTGCAGGTGCGGGCGCTGCGGTGTTGCGTGCGTGTGTGTGTGTGTGCGTGTGTGTGTGTGTGTGTGTGTGTGTGTGTGCGCGCGCGCGTGCGCATTCATGTCGTGTGCGCAGCAGCGTGCCCGTTGCAGGTGTTGCACGGTGTAGCGGCGTGCGTGTGCAGCGGAGTGGTGCGCAGCAGCGTGCATGTGCAGTAGTGGGTGTCAGGGGGGTGTGGACGTGCAGTGGTGAGCGTGCGGCGGCAGCGCGTGTGAGCAGCGGCATGCATGCACTGTAGTGTGTGCGTGCGTGTGGCGAGGTTGATGCGCGTTGAAACCACTGGCTGGCGCTGCAGGCGGGCTCGCGTGATTGCAGGATCCTTATTTGAGACGAACGGCTGCGCCAGTGTACACCATTTTGGTAGAGAGGGTCGAGCGTCACTTGACATCTGATTGTAGTGTGATCAAATGCCGCGTCGCCCTTTGCCAGTTCTCACAATTTTTATGCGTGGCGCCGCGCCGCAGGAGCTGTCGGGGCACCTGCCAGCAGCTTCTGCGGATCAGATCACCTTCCTGCGGCAGGTGGGTGCGCAGCTGCCCGGCCGTCGCCCGCCCGGCTGCGCCGCCC